TTGATTCTTTTCAATGTTGACATATGAGTTGTAACAATAATTTCTAATAGCTTTTTTGTTTCGTTTAGTGTTTCCTCCAAACTATTTTGTATCAAAAATTTCAAAAAAGACATAGTTCCATGTAAATTTCGGCAATCATTCGGGATAAGCCAAGCAGGTAGTTTCCAACTTGTCATCAGGAAACTTCCCACAGTATTCTCCAAAGTGTTCGGGGAAAAAAGGGATGCGGCTACCAAATGATCATTGAATTGAAATCTGTCATTTGCAGAATTCACTATATTGTCGCATACTTCTAATGCGGCAACTCGGTGATCGTGACTGCTATTATTACGACGTCTCCTGTTGTTGCATTGGGGTTCAGTGCAAATACTTTTGGCTTCATTTATTATGTCATCAATTTTATTTCTCACATCAACAATACATTTTTCAAAATTATCGATAGCCGTTTTAACTTGCACTGGCTCGGATTTTCTCTTTTGCAATTGGTTGAACAAGAAGTCGACGTGAGGCATGACATGATGAAAAAATGTCAACCAAAACACGAAAACAGAATCGTTTAACATACGAAGAATATCGCAAGCTGCCTTTCATTAGTGAAATTTTCTTCTATTTCTTCCATGCATTCAATGAGCGATTCTCTGTTCTCAAACACTACATTTATTGTTCGAATATTAAAATTCCAACGAGTTGTTGCTCCTTGGGGAATTATTTTCCCCACAATTCTGTTCAGTACCTCTACGTGTTGAGGAGAATTATTAAAAAATCCCGGAATATCTTTCAAATCCTCAAAGAACACCCGAACTTGAGCATTTGCGGAAGCAGCTTGGGACATAATCAGGTTTAACTGATGCGCATAGCAATGCACATAATGAGCAAATGGATATCTTTGTTTAATTTTTGCCTGTACTCCAGCATTATGTCCGCTCATTACCGCGGCTCCATCATAGCTTTGTGAAATCAGTTTGCTAGGGAAATTTCCTAATAATGGATCTAAGACGCTCAAAATATGTCTTGTGAGAGTATCAGCGTCGCATTTTTCGGGATTCATATAATTCCAAAAACGTTCTACTGGTTCGCCGTTGAATACTTATCTAAAAATTGTTACCAGTGGGTTTTCCCCGAAATTTCCGTTGTTTCATCTCCTATTATCGTCAAATACGAGGCTCTGTTAATCTGTTTTATTATTTCTTTTATGTGTTCGCTTAAGGTTTTATCAAGCTCAAATGCTCCGCAAAATTTTATACAATCGACTATTTTTCATAGAACGTACCTGTTTTTTGTAACGGTATCGTTATGCTGTTGTATATTTCTCCAATATGCTGAATCTAACTGAGCTCTGTTGTTATCAGTCCCCAATAAAGCCAATTCCATCGAATTATGAAGATGTGTTTTAGAGTTTTCATGCTTCTTAATTTTTTCACTCAGGTGCACTAAATCTGTAACACCTACCTACGTCCAAGCTTTGTCACCGCCGCAAGAAAAGCAGAAAAGGGCATTACTCCTGTTGCACCCACAAATCCAGTCATTTCTGGTGTAAATATCCCTGCTGAAATGCCGCGTCTAGCCCTTGCCCCGACTAACGCCATGTGTTTCTATAAATATGTCCGGCAGAGGTCTACTTGACACCTTCAGCTCAATTTTTTCTTCAAATGTGTATTTCCAGAATAGTTTCACGCTGATAAGTCTGTAAACCTCATCCATTGTCTTGCACTACCCTTCTACACAGCCACAGTCAGTCAGTGAGTCACTAGTCACTCAACGTAAGACCCAAAATACCTAAATAAAAAAAAATTTCGCATTCAAATTTTAAGCCACGTCACGCTTCAAGACCAATATGCCAATACCGCCGAGGACCGAGCACCAGCCGAATAATCAGATATCGTACTTCGCATTAGATCTGTATAAATTGCAGCACATGCTTACGCTTAAATCGCGCATTTGATTTTGTAGAGAGACAAAAGCAAGCGCGTGCGGCTTGTGTCGAAGTAGTGCACAGACCCTTTTCAAGTGGCCCATGAATAATGTTACGCTGCGGTCGCGACGAAAATGACAAGTACACAATTGGTCGATTATAATGCTTTCTCGGTACAAAACAGACTGCGGGTTCAGGCCGGTATTGTTTCTATTTGTGTGATAACATGGAAAATAAATAATGATCAAATTACTACTGCTTTTTTCTGTTAAGACAAAAGTTTTGGCAGTTTTGCGGCTCTGCAGAACATAAGGGCCAACCGCCCATGTTTATAAAATCAAACAGTATATATATATATTAATGAAATTGATGAAAATGAAAGGAGGTATTTCCTCTGGATCGTCATCAATGAATGTGAGCCAAAATGTAGACATTCTGGATATATATATATAGACAAAGTTTAGTCCATGAGAAAAATAGCGCAACTATCGAAAAACAGATGTGTTGCACAATATAAATCATAAAATAAAGTACGAGTGCTTTCTTCTTGTCTAGAGTAAAATATACTAATAGAGTATATTATAAAATAGTATGATTCTTTAAGTAATTAATAGGAACTTTGTTCAATAGATCCAGTAACGTTGCCTTTACGAGTAGAAAGGCCAAGGTTTGTGAGTGCGAGCCTTGCAAACCAAGATGTTAACCAACAGTCTGTTAAAAATACATCGTACTTACCAATGCATTTTATTGGACTTGCTATTCATGACCTGATTTTAGTAATTAGCAATATTGAGAAGGATTTATCTTTTATCTTGTCTGTGCTGTTTTGAATTCCCCGAATTGAAAGGAAAACGTCTTCCATTCTATTAAATTATCACCATCTGAAAGGAAGACTAAATTTCCAAGGATTATTAAACGCGCTAGATAATGTTTAATCACTAACTGCCGTGAAATTTGTCTTCAATATTTCTGAGCTATAACTGCTCGAATCTTGACATTATCTACCAGCGGAGTGCTAATGTGGACCAATAGTCCTCCGTATATCTCTTAATGATAACACCCAAAAATGTTTCCAAAGTTTCAACGCTTTTATTGATAATATTAACGATAAGCTTCTTTTCTTGCCGGATCGGTATATCAGAAAAGCTTACCCAATGTACACAAGAGCTAAGTTCTCGTAGATATCTTTAGACGATATCCGGATTTGCTGCCAATGTAAATTTTCATATAAAATATGTCAATTATTCTCGTATTTTTCGGACTATAACAAGGTCATCAACGACTTTCATTATATTCACAACATTGTGTCAGGAAAAATAAATTTGTTGAGTCAGCCTCTTATCAACTTATATTTTGTCTATGAACATTTAGAAAATAATCACTAGAGGGTGTCCGCAAAGTTGGGGTTTTCCTTTTCAGACACAACTACGCTTGATATAACAAAGCTAATGTGTGGTGAAATGTGAGCGAAGAAGTAAAAAAAAAGAAATGAAAAAGTACTCACTGTTCAGTTGAATTGAAATTCCAAGTACGGCTCTGTCGTAAAATTTGTATGCACATCGTAGTCGTACGTTGTATAACTGAACGCTGGCGCTGGCGCTGTGGACGTATTCGAGGGATAGGACAGGACCGGCTTCGGTTTGGTTCATGTTTGATTGAGTTTGCGGAGCCCAATATCTCGGTTCTCTTAAGACATTGGTGTATATGCTACTTAGAAAATCCGCTTATTTTCTCAAGATTTACACGTCGTGTAAAGGAAAACCCTAAATTTGCGGCCACCCTGTAACAGGTAAACGGAAGGTAGCGATGTTTACAGATACATCTGTAATAGTGTATGGGGAATCCCCAGACGAGATTAAAGGGAAATAAATAGTTTTATGACTGGGATGGGGTCTTGATGTAAAAAAAAACAACTAATATTAAATAAGGACAAAACAACAATTATAATTTTCTTTATTAAAAAGCAATTACTAGACCATTTGTAACGATAGTGGGAAATATTTCCAATCCGCTATTCCGCTCTTAGGTACTCTTTTAGACTCTGATCTCAAGTTTACCATCATGACTGCAAAAAACTTGCTATTTTCAAAATGAAACCTCTCCTAAACCGGCATTGTCTTTTAAATCTATATTATGCATTTGATTTTAGGCATTTGTCATTTGATATTGCCAGTGTCTACTGATATTAAAAGTGTATTTTTAACTCAAAAGAAAATCAATAGGCTCATTTTTGGTTTAAACTATAATGAATCAAGCAGGCAAACTTTTAAAGAACACGGAATTTTAACACTTCCATCCATTTACATACTAAAATGTGTAACATTTGTGAAAAGCAACTCTTATGGTTATACTCTCTTTGGAAGCAACCACAACGATACAACACGTAATACGCTTGTAAGTTTTCCTACCCCTAAGACATCATGTGGAAGACCTATATTTTACAACTGCATGAATCTATTTAACAATTTAATTATAATGAGATAAGCACAAAGTAAAGAAAGGTTTATGCCAGAGCTGCTTTCAAGAGTACAAGACTTTTTATCTTGCAAAGTTTAAACTGCCATTATCATGTAAGGGACTCTCTTTATATGTAATTTTTAATATGTCTTATGTGTCAATCATTTTTTCTTCTTTGACATGTCAACTGTATTAATTTACGAAGTATGATCAGTAAATATATATCTATCAACGGTTTTTGACTCCTGCGCCCAGACTGATGGCATAAAATTGACGAGCACCACCAGTTTTTTATTTTTAACTGGATCAGGGACTGGCTCGACCACCGAAGGCAATATTGGCATCAAACTGAGTGGCATAACGGATTGAAGTAGATTCCACCAAAAACGCTTGTTCTCGGCACTCTTCATGACTTCATGACAGTGGCGTGTCAGCTCCATTTTTACTTTCCGTGACTAATTGGTCGAGGTACGAGGTAAGGCGAGATTTCCCGGGGCTTCCAAATCTTATTTGAGTTTCATTGTCATTATTGGTGATACAGAAATATGCTCTTTTAGTAAATATTTATATCAGGCGATACCCTAGCTATTTTGATGACAATTTTATTCCAGATTTATTCTTATTTGTTCAGGCTCCAGAAGTCGTCGTTTATAGGGAAAGGCGCGTTGAATCCAATATTATTGGAATCATAAGTCCAGATCCAAGCCTCCGTCATGCATCCGTGGACAGAATTTGCTCTATATCATCGATCCATACCGCGCAACAAAGTATTGGACGACTGATAAAAGAAACAATTTTGTATTGTCGATAACAACGGTCATTTTATCTTGAAAAGGCCTAAGCATTACAACGATGAATTTGTACACGCTTTGTAACGGAAATGATATTTATATCAGTGCTCCTGATTGCGCATCCTGTATATATATTTTTTTATAATTTTATTATGAGTTGAAGTTTTCTCGCGGAAGGTCCATTACGCTTGTCTTTCTTCGATTCTTCGTTTGAATACCGACTCAGTCTACTTGGACTTGTCTATCGGTCGGTTTATCTGTGAGCCTGTCTGCCTATCTGTCGGTAAGTGTTTCTGTCGGTTTGTCGGTTTGGGTCTGTCTATCAGTCCGCTAAACTTTGGAAAGTATCCCTCGAATTTCATAGAATACACAAGGTTGCTACTATCCCAAGGATGAACAAGCTTTGTAATTTTTGAACATCGGTCTTGTGACGGTGGAGCTAGGGATAAAAAACAATACAAAAATAAAATTGCTCAGTTTACTTGATCCATTTTTTTTTGAGGGACAAACTTGTGCCGAACATTATCCTTAATGAACTGTGTTAAGTCAGGGTCAACTTATTTGAGGGAGGTATAAATGTTTGCCTTGAAAATCAGCAAACTTATAGTCGGCGACAACTCATGACCTAGTTTATTCAGTTAGCTGTCACTGACACGTCACTGACTGTATAGATTGCGTACATAGAACGTTACGAGCTGGATGAGCTTTGACCTATTACTGACAACTGATGCACTGCGCGTACAGAAACTTCTGACTGTTTGATGACTGTCAAATTAGTCAGCAGATTATTGTCCAGTAAATTGTCAGAGCTTGAAATCAAGCACAATCGTTATTGGAATGTAACATTTTTCAGCATGAAATAGACAATTTTGCAAAAGTTCGTTTATTTTCATTTTCTGTAAACCAGAATGATCTAGTATTGTCCGGATGTGCCTGAATTTTCCTCTAGAGGGAATAACAAGGAACACTTCCTAGAAAAAATATCAGCACCAAAAAATGTCAAGTGGATTTACTCAGTAATCTCCATTCAATTGTCTTAAAAAGTATGTACATAAATTCGAAGGAATGTGATTCCACACATCGAATGACAAGTTGAGGAAGCAAAAAGTAACAATTCTGAATAAACGTCTGCGATGATTATGCATCAAAAATGCACAAGGTATTGTAAATGTGCTTTTATAAAACTAGGATAGTAGGGTTTTTGTTCCATGTTCCCTAACAGTTGTCGCCCAGCCTTGAATCGTACGCACAAACAGTACATATATTCTAGCTCCAGTCGAACCCAAAGCTGATCGAAAAAAAATGGCTGATTTTGAAGATTTTGTGATACAGCCATTTTCAGGGGGACCGGAGTGCCCCACTTTCTTTGAAAATGGCTGACTGCCAGCCTGTCAAACTTGAGAATTTTCTTATATTGTACTAAAAATGTTTACCCTATATGTGCAGAATCTCACTGGAAGAAAGAAGTAAATAAAAATACTACAAGGACTTAATAACATCTTTGAATAACAAAGGGTCGATATATACATTAAAAAGCTAAAACGGTTGAGCATAAGTACAATTACCAAGATCTGCTCACATAGCTATAAGTTGCACAGAGTCCCAACGTGGACAAAAAGAAATGAGAGAGGAAACTCATAAGTCAAGTCGAGTTTTTACCCTTGAGACATACTATAAGTATAAATATGAATAAATATATTAATATTGTTAATATCTAAGATGGCAAAGTTGATCAATATGACAACTAGCAACAAAGGTACGCATTTTGCAACTATAACCAATATTTTTGTAAAAATTAGTGATCACTAAAAATAGTATTAATTATTATGGTTCTTTAAAGTTTTGTCCTCTAATGTTCAGATTTTTCACACTGAACTTAGGGATTGAATTTCTGCCTTTACACGGCCAATACACAAAATATTCAACACGAATCACTTTGATAGCTTAGAGTGATTTGAGATTGCATCAAATATGAATACATACATGTTAAATTAATAACTTTGAAAAATACCTTTTAAAAACTTTATTCGAGGACTGTAGCTACACTTCGTTACATTACAAATTACAAGTTACAATGAAGTGACATTTACGGAATCTAGCCGGGTATTGAACACACTTTACATGTCGGCAGACCTACTTATACAATTTAGGGTGCTGACTAAGGATCAGCAGAAAATACACAATATACAATGGACAATGGATCTTATGCTATCGCAGCGTCTAGTGCAATAATGTAAGCTTACTTAATAACTGCGTAGTTACTAAGGGCATATAACATACATATAACTTACATATTTTGAAACGCGTATTGAAAACAGATAATTTTATATCAGACCTTATACCTAGTCATATACGAAACTTAAAGTGGGGACAACTTATAGCCGAATATATGTATAATTAAAGTTCACAGCGCAACAATACAGTTGATCTTGTGAGTGCCATCACTACTATCTGCCACATCACTTAGCTCTGATGGAGGATTTTTGAGATGATTATTATAATCAACATCTTCAGTGTGCTCCGCTGCAAAATTATCACGCTCGTATGAAATGCACTGACTATCTGATGCTTCTTAACGTGGTAGAGTTACCTACATTTGTTGCTTCAAACAGCTATTGCAGTACTCTACTAGAATGCGATGTGCGGAATGTTTTCTGTTATAGTTTTGTCTGGACGATAACTGGCCAAGGTCTTGGAATGGAATTAAGAGGTTGGGCAACAAGGGGTATGCGAGTATGTGATCGGTAACACACTTCTGCTCCAGAGTTTGGAAAACTGGTGACGTTTTAAAGACCCTAGCATCACGTACAGAGCCCGGATAACCATTAAACAACATACCTACTGATAATTTTCAAATCTTGGTCGTATACAAGTTGTGTCCGGAATGAAAATAGTTATAAAAATAACAACAAATACGTAGTCGTGCCATAAGTTCTGTCCCTCGTTTTCAAACAAGTGTAGACCTGTTAATACTTGTCCGATTGTTTACATTGTGGTGTCAGTTGATTAAGCGCTTTTCGGGTAATTACATATACCTCAGTTTGTATTGATCTCTCGAAGCATAACGATGGAGTGGGGCAAGGCAGAGAACCGTATTGCAGTGATAGCTTTACATAAGTGTAATCACAGTGCTAGTCAGATTTTTGAACTCTTACGCGGCCTTCAAATATCGCGTAAATTTGTGTCTAGGACCATTCAGCGGTACAATGAGACGTCCTCTGTTGATGACAGGCCAAGAAGCGGAAGACCTCGTCAAGTAAGGACTCCAGCAGCCATCAAAGCCGTAAAAGCCAGGATTCAAAGGAATCCACTCCGGAAGCAGAAGATCCTATCCAGGGAAATGAAGATTCCTGTCCGGACGATGTCGCGCATCATTAAACAAGACCTAGGGCTAGGGGCTTACCGGAGACGTACGGGCCAGCGACTTACGGCCACCTTGCGACACATCAGGGCGACAAGATCCAAGAAGCTCTTGGAGAGGTACGCAGCTGGGGGATTCCGAAAGATTTTGTTCACGGATGAGAAAATCTTCACCATAGAAGAAAAATTCAACCGACAAAATGACAAAGTGTATGCAAGGAGTTCACAGGAAGCTTCGGAGATCATTCCGAGAGTTGAGAGAGGCCACCACCCTGCGTCAGTCATGGTTTGGTGGGGGGTGTCCTACGAAGGGGTCACTCAGCTCCATTTCTGTAAACAGGGCGTGAAAACAAAAGCGGCAAACTATCAGAGCGACATACTGGATCCTATCGTCAAGCCTTTAAGTGGTACATTGTTTGCCAACCAACACTGGGTCTACCAGCAGGATTCCGCCCCCGCTCACAAGGCTAAGAGTACGCAGCGCTGGCTGGAAAGCAATGTGCCAGAGTTCATTGCTGCGGAAGATTGGCCCTCAGGGAGTCCGGACCTCAATCCTTTAGACTACAAGTTGTGGGACCTGCTAGAGCAGTTGGCCTGCTCCAAAGCCCACCGTAATATCGAGTCCCTGAAAGCGGATTTGATCCGATCAGCGGCAGCTATTCCTTTGGAAGCTGTGCGTGCAGTGATAGATGAGTGGCCCGCGAGATTGAAGCAGTGTGTGAAGGCCAAGGGGGGACATTTTGAATAAAACTGTTTGATTATGAATTCTAAAAATGTTGTCGAATAAATAATATCTTCCATATAAATATATCTTATCTTGTTTCATTTTTATCATGAGATTATCATGGGACAGAACTTATGGCACGACTATGTAGTTATATCATGGAAATATACTCGTATTTTCGAGATGCATGAAAACTAGTGTATGGACGGAATGATTAAATAGGATCGAAGCTAAATACAACAGTTATTTTAAGCTAATTGTGGGTAAACTGTATACATTCAGAAATTAGGATCTTTACTTGGTGCATCGGTACATTCCCATAATTAGACCAACCAATATACGCTATACATTCCGTTTCTATTAATATATGATAACGGAGCATCCTGTTTTTTTCAATCTTTATATGGGTTCCGTCATTAATGCCAACGATTCCAGCAAATCTATATTTTATTGTAGAAATACCGCTTTGTCCTACATCCCTCTGTTCGCCATTTTATGATTTCTGGTACCAGATTAAGCAAAAAGGTGGGCAATCTGGATATAACTGCATGCAGGGTACTCACGAAAACACTGAATCTATCAGCTATATCCCTGAAGGTGGTTGTTTGATATCAAGCTAAACATAAAAATATGCAAATTTCTTCATACGGTGTTAGCTTTCCATGTGGCGCTGCCTGATATTTAAAATGGTTACTACCACCGAATTTCACTGATATGTTTTCTGTGATTGTCTTGCTCACTCGAAAATGTTACAAAAACTCGTTGCTGTTGAAATTCTGGCTCTAATTCCTCCACAAAATTCAGGTTTTTGGGTTTCATTCTCGGAGTGTTGTCTGCTTGGTCTATCGCTCATAGTTTTTTTTACTCCGAAGCAGCCGCTCAGGCAAAGCCT